CTGCCATTGAGCCAGCGGACCTTGATTGGTTACTCGGGTTAGATCAATAATTGAAGTACCTCTGATGTTTTGGTACAGTGGAACTCGACCTATTTTGGTGTAAGTTGTGAATGCAAACCAGACAATTCACGGTCTTCACTCGCACGACTCTCACAGGACCATTTTCTCCTGTCAGGTCTATAGTGTGGGGACGCAACGCTCATGAAATCCTATTCTGGGAAGATCCGCATATGGGAAAAGTTACTCTCAGCGGATGCAGTGTTCTATTGTGCAGACCATGATCGCCCCGTGAAATTCCCCTCGCCTCCCACCTCTTATGAACATATCGCGCATGGAACGCATGACTCTAGCAAGAGACTTTTTTCTGGGAAAAAAAAAAAAAGTGAATCCCATGTATATCTTTTGTCGGAACAAATCATTAACTTCAATTCGAGTTGCAACAGATAATACTGTCCCATCTCGCGAACATCGGGAAGATATATTTGGGCAAAATGAGGACATCAGACACATCTTCACCACGGACAGAGACACCAGGAGAGAAAACACAATCTGAAAAACAAAGGCCTGAGCAATAGCTCAACGAAGTACGGATGGATAATTTAAATGTCAAGTTCTTGTGATCAGAGGAGACCTTGACTTCGTATTTCGTGCCGCTCAACCATGGCTTCCACTCCTTGAATGCCCAGATGATGGACATGAGCTCCTTGTCGTGTGTGGGGTAGTTGAGCTCAGGTCCTCGGAATGCCTTTGAGTAGAATGTAACGGGGTGGAGTCGACCCTGCTCGTCTCGCTGGCCGAGTTGACCACCTATTGCCCAGTCGGATGCATCTGTTTCGACCTCAAATTCCTTGTCTGGGTCAGGAAGAACAAGGATGGGGTCGTCCAGAATCATTTGCTTCAAGGTTTGGAAAGCGTTGTCGCATTCCTTTGACCATATGAAGTCGGTGTCCTTCTTGGTCAAGTCGTTGGGTGGCTTAGCGATGCCTCCAAAACCCTTGATGAAACGTCGGTAAAAGTTGACAAATCCCAAGAATCCTCGGACTCCTGACACTGTTGTTGGTGCTGGACATTCGGCGACGTCCTTGATTTTGGTGGGATCCATGCGGATCTGCCCAGGGGAAATGCGGTATCCCAGGAAATCTACCTGGGTAACGTGAAACTCGTTTTTCTTGGGGTTGATGGACAATCCTGCTTTCTCAAGTACTGCAAGCACCTTGTGAACGTGTTTCTGATGTTCCTCTTCTGTCTCAGAAAACATGATGATGTCGATGTAAGCCATCACGAATTCCCTGTGACGAACCGTTACAAGC